GTGTTTTCTGAAATTCATAAATATTTTATAATAAACACTCTTCTATTACAGTATCACTAATACTCGTCAATTTTAAAAGATCAAGAAATGTGATTCCAAGGAAAAGGTAATCCACAATGAGCATCATATTGGGGTCTAAGGAAGACTGTGCCAAACCACAGACAATGATGCTAAACGGCTCCTTGCTTGCTGCTTTTGCAGAAGACATGAGTTCAGTTCTTAGTGTTCATGTCAGATGGCACACAAACCCCAAACAGAATTCCCTGAAGAAACAATGATTTCAGGTCTACAGAAGGGAAAAAGATAAGAAAAGCCTATGGCATTAGAGAACACAAAGCACTTCAAAGGACAGGGGCATGTTGAAAGGACAGAGGAGCCACCCTGAAAGAGATCTATGCCAATGCCTGAAAATTCTAAACAAAATACATGGTAATTTTAGATTCTGAAACATAGAGTAATATGAATATTCACTAGCCCTTACTGAAATAATAAATAAATAACAGGAGGGCTCTTCTTTTCCTTTCTCTTCCAACCTGAGGAAATCTTTTTCTTTTGTTCCAAGTAATAAAAGTAGCAAGAATCAAGGAAAATAGAATGTCACCATTAGATATCCCAATAAATGATTCACCCTAAGGAAAGAGCTACTATCTACTGCTTAATGCTTCAATTAGTGGTGGATATCTTGAACAGAGAGGATATTTGGATAGACCTAAAGTGTTCTCAAATATTTCTAAATCCAAAGGCATACAGCACAATTGTGTAGTGCAGCATCTCAGTACACACCACTTTAACAAGTGAGCATGGCAATGCGTCCATAAATCAATAGGCATCATCCTATTGCTAACAATGCATGGACAAGGAGTATGATGTCTGTGGTGATGCTGCCAAAAATCTATAACCTTAATCCACTCATAAGAAACCACTAACCCCAAATCAATATATTTTAAAAATCTTATTTATTATTTTTATTTTCTGTGTATGCGTGTACTGCATGCATGTAGGTAAGTGCACCCATGTTGTGCAAGCCCTTAGAGGTCAGAAGAGGCTGTCAGATCCCTGGGACTGTAGTTACGGACAGTTGTTAGCTGCCATGTGGGTGCTGGGATTTTAACCTGGGTCTTCTCCAAGAACAACCAATGTTCTTAATCTCTGAGCCATCTCTCCAGCCCCTCAAATTAATATTTTTAAAAATGTGGTTCTCACCTGCTATTTTTTATTTTTATTTTATGTGTAAGAGTGTCTGCATGTGTGTAAGTGCATCCATGTCATGCAGTGCCCGTGGAGGTCAGAAGGGGTCACTGGATCCCCTGGAACTGGAGTTACAGATGGTGGTTAGCTAACATGTGGGTGCTGGAATCAAACTCTGTTCTTCTGCATGAGCAGCCAGTGCTCTTAGCCACTGAGCATCTCTCCAGTCCCTCAAATTAATATTTTACAAAACATCTAACCAGGACTCTTCAAAGTATCAAGGTTATGAAAGATAAGTAAAGACTAAGCAACAGCCACATATTAGGAAACCAAGGGGATAAATGCAACATGAAATTTTAGAAGCAGAGAACAAAAAAGGATCCTAGTGGGAAAGAAAAGGAAATTCTAATAAGATCTGAAGTTAGTTACTAGCATCATACTGGCACTAACTGCTTGGTTTTGACTATTTTAGTTTGATAACAAAAAAAAAAAAAATCTGAATGTTATATGTACATGGAAACTCAGAATTATGGCTGCAGCTTTGTGCTAAGTACAAAATCATTTCAAAACTGGTCTGGCAATACAGATCAGCAGTAAAAGGTGATTTTGTGCAGACTTCCCAAGTTCCATGCCCAGAGCCCACATAAAAAGGCAGATGTGGTAGTACATATTTATAATCTAGTGTTTCTACATTGATATGAGAGACAGAGACGGGAGAATCATCTGGAAACTTGCAGGCCAGTTAGCCTGGAGTGCTCAGTATGATAGAAACAACAAATGAAACCTTGCCTCAAAAATAAGGTGGAAGGACAGAACGCACTCCTGAATTTGTCCTGTCTTCTACATGCACAGCATGCATGCATACCAACTGCCCACACATATACACACAATGATTAAAGAAAAAAAAAAAAAAGACAAGTTGGGAAATATTTACGGTCATTAGAAATCAAGTAAATATACTTTAAAATTATTTTAACTTAAAACAGCTTTTAAACTAAAAAAACAGCACTCTGAGAGACTAGAAAACAAACTGACATAAGCAAACAAATAAACCTACATTTTGGAAGCCAGTTTTAATTGCCATTCAGATTTAGGACAAACCAACTTATTTCTATATGATATAAAGAAAACTAAATGCATAAGAATTGTTACCAATATAAATTTCTATCTAAATTGGACATTAAAAATACTTTAAACTGGTTTACTTTCATCTATATATAGGCCAAAACGAGGGCTGAAAGAGTCTTCTCTTTTGTGAGGAAATCACTCAAGGCTTTCTCTTCCTAATTACATTAGTATCAAAGTCAGACAAATACCCAGTAGATGTGTAGTATAGGCCATAGTGCCACAGGACTATCACTGTAACTAGTGACTGCATTTCTTTTACTGCTACTACGTCATGAAACTGCAGAGCAAGAAGCACCCATCGACATCCTGCTCCAGTAACGATTATGACCCATGGGGGTGCATTAGCTCAAAAACAAATAAAATACTCAAGTAAAAGATCTTTCTAGTCCAACAGAAACACTAGCGTACATTTAACATGCTCTTAATATAGGAAACAATCCCTTGAGAAAATTACACACAAATTCAAGACAATCTTCATTGCGCTTTGCTCACATCTTCCACTGACAATATAGCTTATTTCTGCTCTGGGATGAAAGGTGTGCACAGCCATGCCTGACTCCTGGTTATATTTTTAACAACATGATTTAGTCATAAATAAAGCCATCTTTTCTTGTAAACTCAGCTTCCAATTTGGGCCACTATGGATGATTTAATTTGTTTAGCAGTTTATTCAATATGAATTTCAGTGACTTGAATTCGTCATTAAGGATCTGCCTTTATCACAAATCATTGGGGATACCATATAAATAACCTCAAAATTATGCCCCTTAAATAGTTCTGGGGTGCTGCTTGTATTTAAAATGATAATATATTGTCCAATTAACACATTGCCATTCTGTATCACCACATATATTCTTTAAGGCTAGATATGTTGTATCATATTTTCTCTAATAACCTCTTAATAGATAAAAAATACTTCAAGTTTTACAAAAGCTAAAGATACATGCACAAAGTAAATATGCTAATTCAAATTCAATACACATTTTAAGAGGCAACTGAGTAAAATTTATGACCTTGCTAAAATGGGAATTTACAGTGTAATACATTATTGTAAAACAGAAAACAGGTTTAAGGGCTCCAAGTTATACCTTGGAGCTGAACACTACATGCTTTATAATGAAACATATATAAAGATTTTAGTGGCATAGAATAGCTTTTTCTGAAACTGCTGTAGCTTACTGAAAATCGAAGTGAGTCTCAGAACATATAAACATCCATAACAGCACAGTATTATTTTGATGAGCTTCAAAATATTAGATTTTTCTACATCTTAATATAGAGTAAAAACAAATATAAACAGGACAGGTAAGCTGGCTTGGTGGGTATAGTGCTTGCCACACAAACACTGAAAATCTGAGTTTCTACCCATAGAGCCCACATAAAGCCAGACATGGTAGTGCTCATCTGCAATATCAGTGCTCCTATGGTGAGGCAAGGGGTGGAGATAGGCGAATCCCTGGATCCTCACAGACCAGCTAGTCTGGAGTACACAGTAGAAAACAGGATATCTCAAACAAGATAGAAGGCTATAACCAAAATCTGAGGTAGTCCTCTGACCTCCACATGTACATGTCTGTTTTCTCTCACATACACACACGTCTGCACTCACACACATACACATACAAAGATTTAAAAGACTATAAACAAGAACAATAACAAAAATTCGACAGGTACTTAATACCATTCAAACAGATACACAAATGCGTGTATGAGTCCTCCGCATAGATATAAAATACTTTTCTTGAATGTCCTAAAAAGTATGCATTATAAGAAGAATGAACAGTTTTGGTTTGTGCACTTTTAATCCAGTTATGTGCTATGGCAACATCAAGCTTTATCTGGTTTTAAGTGCTGTTAGTTCTCATTAAGCCAACTCAAGAGCAATAATCATGATCATGTTTGCTTCAAGTTTATTTCTCAGAAAAAATAATGTCCTAAGTAGAAAACTATTTTATTTGCTAACTATCCAGAGCAAGTAAAAAGAAACAAACAAAATCCCCTATCCTCAAGAAGGAGGAAGAAGGGAATGGAGAAGGAATAGAAGAAAGCAGGAAAGGTGCAGAGCAGAGGTCAAGGGCAGAAAACAGAAGCACTGAGACAATGCTAGGGGCTGAGTTCATGACTCAGTTTGTTAAGCGCTTGCTGTGAAGCATGAACACAGGAGTTTGGAACCCCAGTAGCCCAGTAGCTGGGTGTGGTGGCAAGTACATGGAAGGCAAGCAGCAGGGAGGTGGAGTGAGGAGGATCTCTGAGCTTTGCTAGCCAGTTAGCCAACAGGGAGCTATAGGTTCAGTCTAAGACCCTGTCTCAAAAAATTAGGTATAGGGGTTGGAGAGATGGCTCAGCAGTTAAGAACACTGGCTGCTCTTGCAGAGGACCTGGGTTTGGTTCCCAATGTCCTCATGGAAATTAACAACCTTCTGTAATTCCAAGTCCAGGGGATCTGAAGCCCTCTTCTGTCCTCTGTGGGCACTGCATGACATGGGTGCACTTACATACATGCATGAGGCAAAACACTCATACACATAAATAAAAATAAATTAATTTAAAAATTAAAAAAAAGTGTACAGCTCCTGAGTAGTTTGATCCGAGGCTGACCTCTGGCCTACACACACGCACAAACATATGTACACACACATACCAGTCAGTAAATGAGATAATGTAAGGCTGACAAAAGTCTTTACCTTCATCTCCTTTCTCTGTCTTTGCTGCAGTTTCTTTTTTCTGTTTTGCTGCCAGGAGTTCCCGCTTTAATTGTCTTGCTTCTTTTCTGAGCTCTTCGCTATAAAGCAAGAGTTACATAAGTTTGTAGTATACTGACAGAAAAAGTTGCTTAGCAAAAAAACAAAACAAAACTGTTTTTAGGTAATCAAAGGAAAATGTCAACAAAGTAACTAATTTTCTGCTATGTGCATGTATTTGTGGTATGGAAATATAAGTAAAGGATATTTCATAAGTTGTATTTTTTTGTAATAGCAATTTGAGTATCTATAAATATTTCCCATTATAAGTATATTAAATATAAAAAGTCAAGTAATAAATGGCCCATTGTTTCCTAATCACTAACAAACTTAATGCTATTCTCAATAAATGAGACTCTAGACTCAAAACAAAACGTAAATACACACACACACACACACACACACACACACACACACAAAGATAGGGTTTTGTTAGGTAGCCCAGGTTGACTTGGAACTGGCTAGCCCAGGATGACCTCGAATATGCAATCCTCCTGTTTCCTACACCCGGCTGCTAGGATTACAGACATGAACCACCACATCTGGCTAAAAATAAAGATTTTAAGAGAAGTACTATTCACTAAAACAAAACAATTTGGATTTAAAACTTAATTACTGAAGTTGTACCAAATAATTAGTGTTTATTGAGCAACTATTACATTGTAGTTCACACAGCTAAATACTTTTAAAATTCATTTGATTATTCAAATTTAAATTAACTCATTAGACATGGTGGCTAATGTGTGTAATCCCAGAACTTGCGAGGCTGAAGCAGGAGGATTATTGGGAGTTTGAGGTCAGCCTCAGAGAGTTCAGAGAGTTCTAGGGCAGCCTGGGCTACACAGTGAGACCATGTCCTATCTCAGAAGCCCCCTCCACCACTGGTTTTAAATCACCAGATGCCATATTTGTCATATAATTTCCTGTTCTATGAAACATACCAGACCAAGGTATTCTGATGATTAATATGTTGTATCACAAATTAAAGGCAAATGTTGATTTGCAAGTCAGTAGCTAAGTGACTTGTTCCTGCAACACGGTTTTAGAGCAGGAGATTAAAATTTATCTCCTTGAAAAAATTAACTATTCACATGATGAGCCCTAGTTTGGCTATGGCTGACTACTCCGACACGGTCCATGGGTTGAATGCTTGGTCCTTAATGGTGGTTACTGAGAAGTGAAAGAACATTTGAGAGGTGGTGCCTTGTGAGAGGCAGCCCCACATAAAGTTCATTAAGGTCATATTGATTCTGGATGCTATATGGTCAGCCATTTTACTAACATCTCATCAGTATTCTTAGTTTTCTTGACTTGTTTGAGCCTGTGGATATATAATTGCCTAGAATAAACTTTGAGTATGGTTTATGTAGACTTAAGATGCTACCTGAGTATTTGCCCCTATAACAAATTTCCCTTGTGACCACTCAGGGTTGGGATCCAATGCTTAGAATTCTACTATAGAAATCATCTTTCTCTCTTGTAATTTCAAGTGCTCTTACTTCACTGATCCTTTCATTCAGCAAACAAACATACTCAAATTTCTCTAGAGTTTGCTTGAATCACGTGGTTATTATCTTTAGAAACGGGCTCCACCCTGGAAAGAAGTTTATATATACAGCCTACTTGTAATCTTTTGCAATCTGTCCCTCTTACACTCAACTGAAACTGCTCCTACACCAATGAAATTCAGTGTCCTACTTTCCAGTTCTCCTCTTCCCAGATGGCTTCTCTATCATTCAACTTTCCTCCTGAAATTCTGTCGGAATCAGATGTTTTAGCACACTGGAGTCATGATTATCCTTGCCCTGGTTACTTTTTCTGCTGGCATTTTTCTCTTCTCTGGGCCCTGTACAGTGGCATTTCATCTGATTTTATAACATCAACTATCATTTCAATATAGGCTATTTACAAATCTAATCTAGACATTTTGCCAAATTTGGTTCTATTTTTATATCTATTACACATCTCCATATAGATTAACATAGTACAGAAGAACTATAAGGTCAGACATATAAGCAGTTTAAAGTTTCCCAGCAATTATATTTTATAAAATGCAAAAAGAAACTCAAATTCTATCCAAGATATTTTTATTTCAACATGCAACCAATATAAACATATTAAATATGATATTTTACTTTTTTGGATACTAAATCTTCCAAATCTGGTATGCATTTTACTCATAAATCATACACATTCAGCGAAGCCACATTTCACAGACTCTTATCTAGATGGACAGCAGGTCAGATGTCTCAACATAACTATATAATCTCATATCTAAACCTGAAATCATCTCCTTCTTGACAAATCTATTTCTTCTACAATTTTTTCTACAATAAATGTACTTGACGGTGGAAGCACTGTCTTTCCAAGGAGCAGATTTCAAACTTCCCCAGGGCTGTCCCTCACTTCACTGGCTCAGCATTCAAGTATATTTCACACATAGAACACTTCCTCTTGGCACTCACCATCAACACCAGTTTTCGGCTTTCAGTATATGTGTCTCAAATACGACTACTTCCTTCATCTTGAAGCTTTGTGGACACAGACCTAGAAATCTCGTATTCAGTCAGCATGGTAAAGCAAGGGACTCTAGATTGGCTGACTAGACCTCGTAAATGAACTTGTACTGAGGGACATCTGGGGACACTAACTTGACACAATAGGCCTTAACACAAATGACAGAATGTATGAATTCCAGTGGGGGGTATGGGAGGGTGCCAGTGGGGAAGGGGGTATAAAGATGATTAGGATTGATTGAGATGCTCTGAATGAAATACACAAAAATTCAATAAAAATATTTTTTAAAAACTGATCTACGTAGTCACTGCCCAAGAACAGCAACCACATCTTCCTTCCATCTACTAAACACACTTATATTATTATGTTAGTCTTAACATTTGTAAATTCAGTAAGTAATTTCGATGATGTTTCTTGAAGACTAAGATCTTTGAGATAGAGATTATTGTGCAAGCTGAAGAGGAAATGTTGCATTTCTAGGCCAAATAAATCAGTTACAAAAATAATCTAAAGAGTGAAGCTAAGAAAGTTTATACCATGTAAAATTCTATTGCATCAGTAATAGAACATAGTTAATTAAGAGAAATAGTTTGGATCAAGAAGTCTGAATTTAAAAGTCAACTCCATCACTTATTAACCGAGTGACTTTATAAGAGTTACTTAACTTCTCTGAGATTCAGTTTCTTCAACTATATACTAGACATAAGGTATGTAAGATATTGAATGAGCAATACAGATTCAATAAATGTAGCTCTTATGTAGGTCAGATGTTGAAAATAGCACTATAGTGTAGGTCTGTCTATCATACATGAATATTTCTTAATTATGTTATTAATTATGACTAAATACTAACTCTACTATATATGGAGACCAGCTCTCTTCATAATTTTGAAAATGCATTGAATACATAATGCTTCTAAAAAAATCTATCCTTAACAGTCAAAGATTAAGACACTATTGAAGCAAAATAATACAAACTGAACAATGATGACTAAAAATTCAAAAAAAGGCAGTGAGAAAGAGGCGTGTAGGTTTGTGCAGATAAAAAACTGCTTCACTATGTTGAAATTTTTCAAGTGACTGAGGATTTGCAATGTTGTTAAAATCTTTCAGGCTATTCAAACATCACATTTATTAGTGCTGGAGGAATCCATAACTCTTGGAATGAAATGCAACTTTTAAAACTAATCTTTAGATCAATCTAAATTTAGGGATCCTGATCTTACATTTTCTGGAATATAACCCTCCTATCCGTTGGCACAAAATACATTTAAATCTGTTAAGATGAAAATTATAGTCTTGAAATATATATCAGTATGTACTGCCAAAATCATGAGCCTGCTTTGGAGGCCAACAAGTGACTCCTTGGCCTCAATGCCTAGTTTCTGCTTCAATGATAAGAGAAATGGCTTTTATTGTTATTAACTCAATGATAACAATTTTTTTCTAATAGGCAAGGTTCTAATTTTGAATTCATCTAAATTTTAATATGGTTTGAACACATTCCCATTAACCACTAAATTATTCTGTACTGAATTTTATGCATACTTTAAATATAGAAAATCTGTACTATCTTCTGCCTTCTTCCTAGAGATTACTAATTCATTCAACAATTTCTAACATTTGCATTTCTAATATTTGTAACATTAAATACAGGCCCAGAAATCAAGATGAACAAAAGAAAAAGGAATCCAACTTTGGTTCAGTTAACTCACTTATGACTTAATCTTTTTAATAATCTATAATATAGACATTAACAAGGCTGAAGTTTATGGAGATTAAATTAAAATCTTGCCTGCAGCCATACCATACAGTGAGGGAACTAGAAACTGGAAGAGAAGTCTCTCATCTAGCTTATATTCTTCCCATGACAGCACACCAACACGTATACAAACATTCCAAGCAGCTTGAATTACAAAGGACATAACCATGTCCACCAACAAAGAAAAAAGCCCGTGATTAAAAAAAAATGGCAAGTCACTGAAACACTTTGAAACTCAGTAAAGAAAGAATAGTTCAGGCTAAGTAAGAACTCACAGAGGAGGCAAGTGAACTGGGCCCTAAACAACCACTAGGAATTTGCCACCTGAAGATAGTATGAAGAGGCTTCTAAGCAGCAGGTCTAAATCTGGATAGGAAGTTAGGGGTAGGTTATGAAATTTGTAAAGGAAAAAAATAAGAAGAAAAAGAAAAGGCAAGATGGCACAATGGGTATAAGTGTGTGTTGTATAAGCCTGACAACCCGAGCTCTATGCCTGGCATAAGGCCAGATGTGGTGGGCATCTGGAATCCCAGCACTTCTATGGGAAACAGAAGACTGAGCCAGAACTGCCCAGCAGCTTGCAGGCCAGTAAACCTGGAGTACACAGTACAGCAACAGAAACAAGAGAGACCTTGCTGCAAGAAGTGGACGGCAAAAACCAACTCCTGAGCAAGCAGAGACACACGCACAGACATACACATGAGATACAAAATTATTTAAAGGTAAAAACAAAGATTGTATGCTAAAAGGAATTTGGTCATA